GAAGAAGAAGTAGGGAAGATTACTATGGCAATGCCCTCCTACCAAAGACCACCAGGAACAAACCTGTGGTTGAACAAATTGGGTTTAAGACTCATGGCAACAAGGGAGAATTCATACCACGGGGAACTATGGGTGTCTCAATAAGTGGTGTTAGAAAGCATTTATTAATGGATTAGAGCTTCTCTTAGGTGATTTGGGGGAGAGGCCAAGGAAGTGATCATTTGCTCTGGATTGGATGCTATTAGGAGGGGAGGCTAATTCCATGACTGGGTATCTTATCAACTCTTATCTAGAATGAAGGAAGACTAAAGCTATAAGGAGGGAGAGAAGTAGCAGTTAGCTGGGAAAGGAGAATGTTTGGTATTTGTGAGTTTCACAATGACCTTGTTTTTGTCTGTACTTAGATAACGTTACACAGTGGTCTTGTTTTGTCTCACTTCGTCATGATCATAGAGACACGTCTTGTCATTAAACTAATCCAATGTTGGTGTTCTGTGAGATGGATTACGTGCAACACGAGAATAACGTGACCAACCTGTGAACACCAGGCCAGCTTCTAACCGACAATAATGCCTAGATGTAATTGTCAGACTGGTTCCCCGATGGCAAGGGCTGCTTTTTCTTTCTCAAGTAGAAGAGCAGATTTAGGGGGAAAAGACTCAAAAGTTCTGTTTTGGACATGTTAACTTTCAGACAGGTTTCGATACCCAAGTAGAGATGTTAAGTAGGCAGTCAGATATGCAGGAGGCAGGTCTGGAGCTCAGAGCAGGGGTTTTGGGGATTTATAAAATATAAATTTGGGGATCACTGTTAAGATGGTATTTATGTATAGAGAAGATATTTTGCATGTTGGGACTAGTCAACATCACAAAGGGAGAGAGAATAGATGGAGGAGAGAAGATGTGCCACGATGGAGCCCCGGGCAATTCAACGGCAGGAGGAACCAGCAAAGGAGACTAAGAAGAGAAAGGACTGGCAAAGGAGACAAAACCAGGAGATTGAGGCGTTGTGGAAGTCAAAAGAAAGTTTCAAGAAAGGAGCGTTAAATGTGGCTGAGCAGTCATAGAGATGAGGACTGAGAATTGAGCATTAGATCGGCAACACGCAGGTCATTTGTGACCATGACAAAGCTGTCCCATTGCTGCGGTGTAGGTGACAACCCGGCTGCAGTGGATTGGGGAAAGATTGGAAACGACCATTACTGAACCTTGACCATGAGCCAGGCACTATGCTAAGTTGCTCAGTCTTCACCACAACGCTGGGAGGTAGGTGCAATTTCTTACATCCATTTTACAGATAGGGAAAGGGGGCTTGGAGAAGGTTAAGCAACGGTCCTCGAATTACCCAGCCAGTCTGGCTTTAAAGCTCATGCCACATGCACTACGTTGTTCTGCTTTAGCTGATGATGGAGACCATGAAGAGGTGGGGCTCTTGAACTGACCTGTCCTTGGACTTGCTAGAGGGAAAGCCCGAACCTCTGAGGGATGGTGCCAGTTACTCGGGACATGATAGAAATTCCATCCTTCCAGGTCCTCGTGGACTCCGTCCTAGTATTTCTTCCCTCACTCACCTCAACCATTCCTCTCCGGCGTCCTGTTTGCTAAGTTAACCTTCCAGCAGACAGAGTCCTTGGCTTCTCTCCCCTTATGCTTGTCCCAGTTACTCCCATCCCCACCCCCATTCCACCCTCCACCCAGGAGACTCACATGGAAATGCAGGTGCCCTCCTAGATGGCTGAGGGTTGGATCTTCTGAACACCCCTAGAAGTAGTGGGGACAAATAAGAAAAAGCCGAAGTGCTGTTCTTGAGCTTACCACAATGGTCGGTACCACCAGAGCAGCTTTACCCATCTCAGGTTTGGGAGTCTAGGGCAAGCCCCCCTTCACACCTCCCACCCTCACAGGTGTCTGAAAGCCACCATTAAAGATGCATTGCTCTCTTTTGTTGTGGCAACTCGGAGGCGGTCGGCTGTCTCAAGATGAAACTGAACATCCCTCTCCTAGCCACCGGCTGCCGAAAACTCATTCAGCGGATGAAGAACGCACACTTCCTAACTTTGATGAGAAGCGCATGGCCGCAGAAGTTGCTGCTGACGCTCTAGGTGGAGAATGGGAGGGTTATAGGGTCCTAATCAGCAGTGGCAATGACAAACAAGGCTTCCCCATGAAGCAGGAGGTCTTAACCCCTGGCCGTGTCCACCTGCTCCTGGGCAAGGGGCATTCCCGTTACAAACCAAGGAGGACTGGAGGAAGAAGGCACAAATCCGTGTGGGGTTGCATTGTGGGTGCCAATCTCAGTGCTCTCAACTTGGTTATTATAAAAATAAAAGGAGGAGGAGAAGGATATTCCTGGACTCACTGGTACTACTGTGCCTCGTTGCCAGGGGCCCCCAAAATCTCGCAGAATCCACAAACTCTTCAATATAAAGAAGATGATGTCCACCAGTATGTTGTGAGAAAGTGCCTGAACGAAGAAGGGAAGCAACCTGGGACCAAAGTGCCCAAGACTCAGCACTTTGGTCTTCCACATGTCCTATAACACAAACGTCAGTTTACTCGGAAGAAACAGCATGCCAAGCAAAATAAGGAAGAGGCCACAGACTATACTAAGCTTTTGGCCAAGAGAATGAAAGAAGCCAAAGAAAAACACCAGGAACAGATTGCCAAGAGATGGAGGCTGTCCTCTCTGAGAGCTTCTCCCTCGGCGCCTGAGTCCAGTCAAAATGGAGAGTTTTCCAAGAGTAACAACTCAATAAGATCAGACATCAAAAAAGATGATTCCTTGGGTCATCACGGGGATGAACAGCAGATGAGACATAAATGAGTAAGACTATTAGCCCCTGGCAGCAGGGAAGGAATCGTTCTGGAAGACTGGGACTGGGAGTGATGGTGAAGCTTGGAACAGAAAGAGAACACATGAGATCAATACCAATCCCATAGTTCCGCCAAGGGCTGGTCCTGACCACCGTGCCCCCAGAGGAGTGGTCCCGTGAGAAGAGGAATAAAATTAACGTGCCCCCTTGTCTCCACTCTCTCTCTTCCAGGCCTGCTGGAGATGCAACCCCTGCTAGGTCATCCTGAGATCCTCAAAGAGCCAAGGGGAGGCCCCCTGTTTCTTCAGGGACCTGACGCGTTTTCAGGACTGGACATCTTGTGGGTCAGGTATGTGAGAATTCAGTGAATTCATACTGGAAGCCAGTCATTCGCGACCACCCGAGTCCGCCGCAGGGCTCGGAGGACAAAACTTTCGAGATATCACTCTTTCCAGATTTCACCGAAATCCACAAGTAGAGATTCTGTCCTTGGGTTTCACCTCTACATTGTCCTGAGTGAGCTATTATAAACCGTGAACACCCCCACAGGGCATGTCACAGGAAACAAGGAGTACGCGCCCTACCCCTTCTATGTAAAGTCATTTAGGTGCTTGCCTTTTTCTCTGACTTAAAAAAAGCACCATTGCCCAAGCACACAAATATACTTAATGCCACTGAACTGTACGCTTTGGGAAATGGCTGAGGGAAATTTTACCTTCTGTATGTTTTACCACAATTAAAAAAAAAAAAAAATGTATCTGAGGTATCCCCCTGTTTGCGCTGAGTGCATTCTCTTCAGAGGAAGAGGCCCAGGCCGCAGCTTTTCCCAAGACCCTGCCCTCCCTCAGAACACAGCTGATGAGGGACCGGTGGGGTCGCGTAGGACCAAAGTGTGCAAAATTCAGTGTCTTGGTACCCCCGTGTGTCCTGCAACACAAACATGGGCGTATTACTGTGAAGAAACAGTGTACTAAGACAAATAAGGAAGAGGCTGCAGAATATGCTGAGCTTCTGGCCAAGAGAAAGGGGCCAGAGACGAAGGCCTGGGACAGATTGCCAAAAGACAGAGGCTGTCCTCTCTGAGAGCTCAGTACTCCACATGTCCTATGCTCTGAGATCCAGCACAGAACGAAGAGTTGCTTTAATCACATCATTGGTCTTCCTGGACCAACTGTAGGTTGTGTTAAGTGAAAAAAAGGGACTTCTCATCCGGCTTCTCCTCCCGGAAGCCTCTTTTTTTTTTTAAGATTTTTTTTTATTTATTTGCTAGAGGGAGAGAGAGAGAGAGTGAGAGTACAAGCAGCGGGAGTGGCAGGCAGAGGGAGAAGCAGGCTCCCCGCCAAGCAAGGAGCCCGATGTGGGTGGGACTCGATCCCAGGACCCTGGGATCATGACCTGAACCGAAGGCAGACGTTTAACCGACTGAGCCACCCAGGCGTCCCTCCCGGAAGCCATTTTGATAGGTGATTCAAATTCACCTGGGGTTGGCCATTGACCCACGTGATCCATTCACCCTCGGTGGTCCTCAGTCACGCTCCCTTACCTTCACAGAACATTCTAGATTGCTCTTCCTCCTACCTCCCTCATGAAGCCTGTGATTCCTCCCCTTCATTCTCTTCTCTTCTGCACCCCCTCAATCCCTGACCTATGTCTTCAAAGTCTAGACTCCAGTCCTGGTGGAACCCTGAAAATACGGTATTATTGTCGTATTTTTTTAAACAGGTTACTGTGGGGCTATGGGTAGAGGGGATGAGTAGGATGGTGAGACAGTTACGCACAGACTCCTAGTCATCCAAGATTCTGAGAATGGGGGAGATGGGCTCAGAAATCTGGGAGCTAGTGGCCAAGTCCCTACAATCCTCTTCTCTGAGCAGTAAGAGCAGACTTTACTGCGTGGAGAATTTTCTCTCCCCCCGCCCGCCTTCCACCACACAACAGTCCAAAGGCACTCCCCCAAGAAGGGAAAAAGGGAAATATAAACTTAACACCTTATGCTTCTTATAGCTGCTGTACTTCGAGCTTTTTCCCATGCATTATCTTACTTGATCCTCAAATCCCCACAGCGGTGGAGACAGGCCCCGGGGAGGTGAGACAGCTCGTTCTGAGAAACAAAGCTGGCTAATTGGCAAAGCCAGGGCTGGACCCCAGCTCTCCGGATTCTGGTCCTGTGCTCTCCATCGCGTTTGCTTTAGCCGTCGGGCAAGATCCTTTGGAAAGCAGCCCAGTCCCTTTTCTCTTTGTTGATACAAATCATGTGCAGATCTTTGGTTTCTAAAAGAGATGGCAAATTGAAAAGGAGAAGGTGGTAACTATAAACAAATGAAAGACCCCATTTATAGCCCTCTAGAAAAGTGAATCGACAACACAGAATTATGTCTGTAATGGAAGAAAAGTTTCCATTTATTTTTGCGCTGTCGATGAGCGCTTCCAGACATTGGAGCTCCAAATATCTCCTAGTTGCGCTCTGTTGAAAGCCTCGAGTTACAATTGAGGAAGCATGGGTCTCTTTCTTCATTATTATTATTATTATGGAGCAAAGATCTGACCTGACCTAAAACAGGATCTGCTTACACAGAAGGGAGAAATAGACTGCCGGATCGGTTGGGAAAAAAAAAAAAAAAAATCATTCCAATTTATTAGAATCACGTTCAGGAGAAGGCTAACGGTTCCCCAATTTGGACAGTCAGCCCGTGCTATTCAGGAATACATTATCAAAACTGCCAAGCCCCCGGTTTTCCTTTCTTCTGTCTTTTGCTGATCACAATATGACCACTTCAATGGTGTTGACACCCCCACTGGCTGGGAAAGATTCGAGTGTCCCGGCTTCTGGGAAACTTCATTATCTGGGACACAGTTGCAACCTGAATGTATTTGGGAAAAGCGACTGGATAGTAAAGCAAATCGCTCTCCCCCGGCCAGGTCACTTTTCTCACTGGTAGAGTTCTGTGGCCCCTCTTGCTACATGTTCTTCATAGGTACCCTAATCATCATTAAAAAGTTAAAATGTTTCTGAAAGCAGAAGTAGTTTTGTGGTGGGATTGGTTTTCCCTCAGCTGGCACATTAATGTTAATTAGGGGCATTGACTGGGAGCAGCTATATATCTGTATCTATCTATCTATCTATCTATCTATCTATCTATCTATCTATATTTTGGCAGTATGCTCTTTTAAAGTCTATGAAAAAATGGTACCAATTTGTCAACACCTAACCAGTGATTATGTTCATTATCAGAACAACGTTGTGTTCCCATTCATGCCAGATAAATGGGGGACATTGTTGTACTTGACATACAGGGCTGGGGACTGTTCCCGCCCACATGCCCCTGGCATGGCTGGGTATCTGTGCCCTCCCCCCACATCCCATTCAGGCCTCCCCACCTGGCCCTGAGGCACCCCCTCTCTTCCTGTCATTGTCTTGGACTGCTGCCCAATCCCTGACCCCCACCTGCACGGCCTTAAGGCTGAAACTAAGACTGGAGATCAGCCAATGGGGCAAGGCCAGTTGAACTTCAAGGAGTGGATCCTGGGAATGAAAGTAAGTTCATTTAACTTATTAACAGCTCCAGTAAAATAACAGATGGGCTACAAGGTCAAAACGAACACCTTGAATGAGGTTTACGTGTTATCAGCTCATGGAAGTGCCCCATAATGTTTGCCTTGCTGTCACAGAAGTCAGCTGTATTTAAGCAAGTTGGCTTAATGCTAAGAGGTGATTTTTCTGTGTGTTTGATGAAACCCAAACAGCCCCCATCAGATGTAAGCTTTTAAGCCCGAAGCAAGCAAGTTCTGATGACCTTCTTGAGACAAGGGAGAATAAATGAAAACCATGCACCTGTAGCTTTACCCATCACTGGTTAAGATTGCTCAGTTGAAGCATCGTCCCTCCAACTTGTGATTTTACGCTATTTGATGGCTTTTCTCTTTTAGTAAGCCACACGTTTGAGACTTACAAAGATGGCTTCTAAAAATTAACTTTGATAATAGCTGACAGTGATGGGTATGAGAGGTTTTTGTTTTGTTTTGGTTTGGTTTTTTACTGTATAAATGCTGGCTGGCATTTATTCTTTTTTTATTATTATTATGTTATGTTAATCACCATACATCACATCATTAGTTTTTGATGTAGTGTTCCATGATTCATTGTTTGCATATAACACCCAGTGCTCCATGCAGAACGTGCCCTCTTTAATACCCATCGCCAGGCTAACCCATCCTCCCACCCCCCTCCATGAGGTATGAGAGGTTTTTTTAAGGTGTATCCCGAAAAACTGCTTCAGTGGGAAATCCTCACTCAGCATCGTGATATTTCAAGGTGCTTCAGAATTAAAGGGGGAAAAAAAAGTAATAAAGTAGTTCCAACTTTCGAAACCCTTGGGAAAACGACCCGTTTAGCCATATCAACCTTTTCTTCCCCCACAATCACCTCTACTGTGTTGGAATTGAACATACCGATATAAATACCGCAACAACCCAACCCTCAAATCTAAACATCATTTCCCAGAGCAACAAGGGTTCCTTTTCTACATAGTACTGGGTCTCAAAGGCTGGCATCTCTGAGAGAAGAGTCTTAGGCTATTGCTTAAACAACCTTTATTACCTGCCTCTGACATTCCCCCAGGTTACAGAGGAGGGCAACATCTGAGCCTCGTGTTCCCTACACCTGACATGAAGCAGACAGCGCTGTAACAACTGAATCCACACGCAGGGAGGGGCGACATTTGGAGGTCCTGAGATTACACCCAGCAATGGTTACCCACACCAGAAGATGGCAAAGCTGCTAAAAATCGGGCAAGTTACCTTTGGGATGACAACTGGATGCAAGAAAGCCATACAGTTGGGGTCATGGGTCTTCCCCTGCCCTTGGAGCTTCCCTCCCCCTTCGGCCCCCGGTTCAGTCCGTTCTAGCCCACAGACGGGTCCTAGTGTCCTGCTAGCTCCTTGCTGCAAGAGGGAGGGAGGGAGGGGAAAGATGTCTGAGGTCTCTTGATTTTCTTTGTCTCGGCCCCTAAGGCAACAGGAAGCTGGAGCTGCTGCGGCCGCCTAGCAGTGACACCAAGCCCGCTGGCTCTGCAGAGCGAGCAGTCCCTGGCTGCCCTTGGAGCAGCTGCCCGTTAGACGGCCCAGAGTTCTGATAGACTTCGCTGCTTCACTTCAGTGCCAAGTGTTGGACGTGGTGGGTTCAGTTCCCAGGGGGCTGGAGGGTGGTGTCAGGGCTGTTTGAAGACAAGAGAGCAGAGGCAGTTTAGTGCCGTTGGGTGTGCGGGGTGGGGGATGGAGGCACGGGGTGGGGGTCGGGGGGAGTGGAGAGGAGTGGAGAGGAGGGAGAAGCCGGCCAGGGGTGGGTAGGGTGGTGCTTCCTCCAGGGCCTGCCAGACAAGGTCGGCGGGCCCCTCCTTGTCTGGGCCTCAGGTGAGGCGGCGCCTGGAAGGGAAGGAAAGGAGCAGGCGGGCGCCGCGCCCAGGGACGCGGGAGCTGTGGAGGGCGCGCGCGCGGGCGCGCGAG